ACTGCCAGCCCTGGGTGGGAGCCTTCTTGGATGTCCGGCCCAGGTGAGTGAGTGTTCAGATGACTGCAGCCCCAGCTGACACATGACTGTGCCTGCGTGAGAGGCAATAATGCACATAAAGTGCTTAATAGGGCCTAGTGCTTTCTAAGTGCCACAACTTCTAGCACTGTCACTATTCTTACTCTCTGCCAGGTCCTGGTTCCAGAAGGCCCTCTCATTCCATATCTCACACTAAGGGCTCAGGGAAGTTTTCTGGGCTAGGGAAAGTAGACTTGAGTTCCAGCTCTGCTCCTGACCTGCTGGAAGACCCTGGACCAGCCCTTTCCTCCATGCCACTGATTCGACTCATCCACATACTGGAGATGCTCATCGAGCACTCACTAGCTGTGTGATCTTGGCCAGTGTCATGAACTCTCTGAGCCTCAGTTTCCTGAATGTAAAATGGGGATAAGTCTTCCCACCCACTAAGGCTAAAGTGGAGATTTGAGATGGTGACACTAACGTGCCAGCGCAGACCTTGTCCTCTCACCAGGACCACTGATTAATCTCCTTCCTGGCCCCCCAGCCTCCCATCTTGCCCTGACATGGATCCCTGAGTGATCTTCCTAACTCGACATCTGGCCCTGACCATCCCCTGCTCAAAAGCCCTCTATGGCTCCCACCATCACCAGGAGAAAGTCCAGCTCTCTAACCTGACATCTGAAGTCTCACTTTGTCTCACATCACCCCACTGCTTGCAGCTCTACCAGGAGTTGGGCCTTTACATATGCTTCTCCCCCTGTATGGGAGCACACTCTCCCTTCCTGCTAGCAAGTTTCCCCATCTCCTCCAGGAAGCCTTCCCTGATACCCCCTGGCTGGGTTAAGTGGTCCTCTTAGGGGTTCTTACTTCCCATTATAACTTTCATTCTTCTGGGCCAGCACCATCTGTAACCAGGTCTGCCTCCCCTGCAGCTGATGAGGCCCAAAGGGCAGGGCCTGGGCCTAACGCATCTTGGGGCCCCTCCCCGATGTTGCCTAGCACAGAGCCTGGCACTGAGCAAGAGCCTGGGAAATGCTGAATGAAGGAACGAGGAAACGCACACAAGACAGAATGATGAAGTTGGCAGCTCTCTCTCAGGCACTGACCAGCGCCCCGGAGAACATCACAACAGACCCAAGCCATGGGCTGGGGAACGCAGAAGAACCATTCAGCCAGACCAGACAAGAAGTCTGTCTTACCGGCCTCAACCAAACTATAAAACTCAAAACAAGTACATCTTTGTTAAGTGCCTGCCAAAGGCAGGCTCACCATCTGCCTTCCCCAAGTTCCTCCCCAAGTTCAAGGTCTCCTGTTTCCACCCAACGTGGGCCCAATCCCCATGCCATCCTGAACAGAGATCCAACCACAAAACCCCCTGCTTTTCAAAAGCAAAAGCCTCTTATTCATGAGGATGGTATGAGGACTGAGTACAATAAAGTGTGAAAGTGGTACAGAAGGAAGTGGTTCGGTGGCTTATTTCTTTAATAGCTAGGGGAATATGTTGGTTCTTAGAGATGCCAGGCTTTAGGAAGAATGGAAGATCAAAGGGGACCTGGAAGTCTCCCAGACTCCTCCCTACCCCAACATCCAGCCAGTTGGTCCCCAAGTCTCACTGGTGGAACTTCACAAGCATCTCTCAGTCCTCTCCCCTCCTCTCCACTTCCTTAGTTTCTGTCCCACCCAGAACTCACCCTCTCCTGCAGGGCTAGCATACCAGGTCCCCAGTCTGCCTCCACCTGGCTTGAGAGTGAAGCCCCACTCCTGCTCAAAATCCTTCTATGGCTCCCCTTCAATCCCAAGAGCAAAGCCAAGCTGCTCGATGTGATACTCAAGGCCCTTCTTTCCCTGCTTCTGGTGTCTTCCTCACCTCCCAGCCAACGGTCCAGTCAGACCAGACATACCAACCTCTTTTGTCTTCATAGAGGCTGTTCTTTTTTCTCACCCAGTAAACTCCTATGCATGCTTCAGAACCCTGCGCTAGTGGCTTCTCCTCTGTGATCCCCAGCAGTGTCCTCTCACTCCCTTATAGGCTCCTCTACCCAACCCTGTACCTCCTTCTGTCTCAGACCTGGGCACACTGTGTCCCCAACCAGGCTGGGGCTCTTCAATGCCAGAGGATGATTTATACCCTCAACACATACACATACTTCCCATTTTGTTCTCACCTCCGAGACAGAAATGGCCCCCAAAGCTGGTGACAGATATACATGCCCAAGAAACATGCATCATCCATACCCCACACAACAGCCATAGATAAATAACACATAAAACATAAATTAGATCATGTCCTTCCCCAGTTCAAAGCCCCTGCATGGCTCCCCAGTACCCCAGGATAAAAACCAAACTCCATAGCCTGCAAAGGGAGGCCCTATAAGATCCAGGCCCTGTCACACCTCTGGCCTTTGGCCAGGACCTACTCTGGGGGACTCCCACCTCTCCTTAGAGGCCAGCTCCTACATCCACTGCCAACAGAAGCCTTCCTGGACTTCTCTGGCCACTGACTGCCTTTGGACTTCTCTTCCACCTCCCTCCTGCCCTCAGGACACAGCTCAAAATCACAAGGTCCTATACCCTCTGCCTCCCCTCAACCCTCAGCTTCTGGCTCATGGTTTATATCCTTGTATTCTGTGTTCTAGTACACTGCATTTCTACTTCCTCAAAAACACCATACCCACCTGCATCCAGGCCTTTGTATGGGCTGTTCTTGCCTGAAATGCCCTTGTGCTTCCTCCTACACATGCCTCTGGTCTCAGTTATCACCCAGGCTAAGATAGACATTTTCGCTGGGCTTCCCACTTCTTGTGGGTAAGTTTGTTTCCCCTACTGGACTAGAAGCCCATGAGGGTAGGGCTGGGCTTGCACAGGCTGTTCCCTCTTCTTGGACTGCTCTTCCTCCTCCTCCTGGCGGATTCCTATAGGTCCTTTAGGTCTCAGTTCAGACATCTCCTCCAGGAAGCCCTCTCTGCTGTCCTTGGTCCCCAGGTCAGGCATCTCTTCTGAGATCCCCCACACCTATGGGGCTCCTCCATCACAGTACCAACCACTCTGCACTATCATTGTCTATGAATGTGTTTGTCTCCCCCACAGGATCCCAAGCCTCAAGTCATCGGGGACTGCTGGGACTGCCTTGGTCTCTGCTATGTCCCAGTAGCAAATACAGTATCTGGCACATGAATGATGGAGAAAAATGTTTTTTATTGAAGTACTTTAAAAATGACAACAGTAATAATCCTAATACCATGTACTGAGCGTTTACTATTCGCCAGGAATGTTAAAAACTTGTTCTCATTTTATCCCAACAACTCTGGGAGGTGGGTACTATTATTATTCCCACTTGGGGAGAGGGAAAGCTGAACGTCAGAAAAAGGAAGCCACCTTCCCAAATTCACAAAGCTAGTTAGAAGTGGAAATGAAATGTGAAGCAAGATGGTTGGGCTCAGAGCCCGACGTTCTAACAATTACTCAGAATACCCCTCATTGATGCTGGGAGCTTGTAACTGTCCATCGGAGTCTGAGAGTAACTCCCCCAACAGACTTCAAGGCCTTGCAGGGCAGGGCCCAGGTGGGCTGCTTTTAGAGCAAAGGGCCTGGACCAGAAAAGGACTCTGGGAATGTGGTGAATGGATGAATGAGTGCACAAATGAAGGAATTAGCAAACGACTGGTGTGTGACCCACACCGCCCCACTCACCCTCGATGAGCCACTCGCAATTGCCATTGACGCTGTAGTTGCCTGCACCATCCGTCACGAAGCCTGGGGCCTCCCGCAGCACTTGCCGCTGCCCCTTGCAGTCCCCCGCCCAGGCCCGAGGGGACAGCGGCCCCAGCACTGCCAAAGATAGAGCCAGCACGGCGGCCAGAGCCCGGCCCAGGGCCATCGCCGCCTCCGGCACTGACCCTTACAGACGGAGCGGACCCTCCACCGGTGCGAGGCCCTGAAAACGCGACGTCTATGGACGGGACATGGCCTTGTAGACCGGGGAGGGCCAGGAGTCGCAGTCCCGGCGAAGGGAACCGCCGCTGTTGACAGGCTCTGGAAGTCGAGGGGTGGGCCCTATAGACCCATGATAGGCCCTGTAAACGGGGTTGCTATGGACAGGGCCGACCCCTAGGGACCGTGGGAGTCCCTTATAGACACAGGCCCCCATAGGCTGGTTGACCCCATACACGGTGTCCAGCAATTACAGAGGCAGACCGCTGCAGGCCGAAACGGACCTTAGAGAGGGGTGGGTCCTCAGGGGGCGAGGGGCCCTACAGCCGGGCTAGGGCCTCCATAGCGGGTGCAGACCAGGCCGGGATGGTCCGGGAGAGACTTCAGCCGGGGGCGGAGCCCGTCCTCCAGGGCTCGGGCCTGGACCGCAACGCCTCACTCCCTCGCTCACCCACCCGCACCTCCCTCCAGAGCCGGATAAGCCAGATCACAGAGACGAGGGCACGCTCGGGCCAGAGCGGCCCTGGGAGGCCGGCTGGGTGGGCGAGGGGCGGGGCCAAACGGCCGCTGTGGAAGGACTGGGACTGGGAGAGGAGGCGAGAAGCCGCGGAGCCGTAGGTCAGAGCGGCCATGGGAGGACTGCGTAACACCAAACTCTACACCTCCACAAAGGAGATTTCCGGAACTGTCCCCGCCCATTCGTCCCCAGGCGCATGCGCAGCATTGACCGTCTAGGCCTGTGAAGAGAGAATTGCACATGCGCAATGCTAAAATCGTTACCCAAATTCGGGGTGCAGCTGACTGAGCAATGTGCCACTGGAGGGCGCCTCTACCTGACTGGGGAAGAGAAAGTAAAAATAAGGGAGCTGTGCGGTAAGAGGACTAGCTGATTCGTATCTTCAGTGCTCTCAGATTCAGGATAGAGGTCAGGTTATCCAGGCCTCTCCCAAAATGACATTTCACAGGTGGACACACTGAGGTCCCGAGCCTGGAACGGTTCTTGCTCAGCCCCGTCTCTGAGCACCATCAATATAAAAAAGGCCATCATATAGATAAAAACTCAACGAATCCTCTTTATTTTGGCAACAAGGGAAAAAAGTCTTTCTTCCGGGGACCTGAGGGAGGGCCCTCGGGATGGAGATGGGGATGGACAGAGCACGGGTCCGAGGTGACAGGGATCCAAGGGAAGTTTTCAGAGTCGAAACCAGCTTCACAATATCCGTCCCGGGAGCAGTGGCTCGGGGTCGCGGAGTCCTCCTGGAGCGTCCCACGGGCAGGGTCCCGGCGATCCTCACTGGTGTTCCGGGGTCCAGCGGGGTCAGAGGTCTCGGAGGGGGCCAGGGGGCCGGAGGTCACGGAACAGCGGGAGCCCGGAATCCGGCGCCGCTCGGGGCAGGGGCTGAGGGAGGGGACGGGGAGAGCGGCTCCCGCGGGACCGTTTGGCACAAGAGTCGGGGGGAGGGGAGGAGTGGGACACCGCGCACCCCTAACTGGGCGCGCGGGATGGGAAGGGTCGGGAAGGCCTGGGATGGCCGAGCCCTGGGGCTGGGACAGAACGGGGGTCCAGAGCCCGGCCGGGGCCCGGCGCGCGGCCCATGGGGCAGGGGCAGGCTGGGGTGTCAGACCGGGGGTGCAGTGCCCCCGGCCGTGCGCATGCTGAAGTATTCGGTGAAGCCGGTGTGCGGCGACGCCGTCTGGGGCACGAGTGGCTGGTAGGGCGGCGTCGAGCCATCCCAGCTCGGGTCGGCCGCTTTGGGGAACCGAGCGGGAGGGGGCGGGGAGGCCGCGCC